AAGTATCAATGGCATACAGACCTTATTTCCTATGTAGACCTAAAGTAAATTAGATATATATATCAAAACAGTAGCTCACTCTGTCTTGTGGCTATTTAAATTTTTTTTAAACTCACATACATATATTTGAAATGAATTACAATAGAAATGTATAAAATCAGGAATTTATAAAACCATAATATTTATAAACATCAATGTACTACAACTACTTAGAAAATCTGTAGCCTTTTAGGTATACATATTGTTACAGATAGAATATGAGGTGTCCCAGAAAACTCATGTGTGAGAAAATAGAGGAATGTTCTCAAATGAAATGATTAAATTATAAGAGCTATAACCTCAGCAGTGGATTAACCAATTTGGTAGATTAACAATTTGAAGGACTGCTGTACTAGGTGGTAACTATAGATAGAGTGTGATTGAAGAAAGCAGGTCATTGGGAGCACAATTTGGGGGCTTATATATTATGTCCCTAGTGCCTCAACTTCTCTTTCTTTGCTCCTGGGCTCCCATGAGCTGAACAGCTTTCCTTTACCATGCCCTTCTGCCAGGATGTTTTGCCTTATCTTGGACCAACAGCAATGGAGTTGCTGACCATGGACTGAAACAATGAGCCCAGATAAACCTTTCCTCCTCTCAGTTGTTCTCATCAGGCATTTTGATCCCAAGAACACAATGCTGACTGGTAAAAAGATTGGAAAAAAAAAAAAGATTGAAAAGCAATGAGACAAACATTATTTAACTTAAGAAGCTATGTAAAAAAAAGGGAAGTGATGTCTATAGCTATTATTTCTATAATAAAATAGAAATAGACATCATATTTAAGGAAATGTACAGGAAAAAAAATTATATTTGTACTCCTTTACAAAACAGGTAGTGCCCATGCTACACAAACCCTTACAGAATCTGAGAAAGGAAGAAAAGATCCCTAAAACATTTGACATAGTATAAGCCAGATATCCAAAGTAAGCTAGAACAAATGAGAAGTAAAATTATCAGCTGATCTCTCTCTCTCTCTCTCTCTCTCTCTCTCTCTCTCTCTCTCTCACACACACACACACACACACACACACACACATGCAAATATTCGAAAATCACTCATCATCAAATTCAGAAAACATATGACCAGGTAGAACTGATTCTGGAAATATCTGCATTTTTAAACGCTGTAAAGCAAAAAGTTTAGTTATAGATGATTCAATAGCTATTTATGGTAAAACCTCTAGAAAAGTAAGAATAGAAGGGATCTTCATTTGATAAAAGAAGATTCCCGGGAAATTATAGCAAACTTTTTTTTTTCTCAAGATAAAATCTGAGGAACATTATTTTAAAGAATAAAAGACAAAGACAAAGCAATTTTGCTATCTTGGCCTCCATTCCACACTGCACTGAAAGTTCTAGACAAAACAATCAATTAAGAGCAAGAAGCAAAAGCTATGCAGATTTAAAAGAAATTAAAAAAAAAAACCCATCCATGTGAGGAACTGTCCTCACTGAATATGTTCATAAGAACCCTACAGGTTAACTGTTAGAACATACAGAAGTTTAACAAGAAGATCATTCGAAGATGAAAATATAAACTGAAATAAATTGAGATGCGTCTCTTATTCACATGCTGCTCAATATCATTTCTGCAGATGAATCTATCAATGTCATGCAATCTCAATGACATCTTGAAATGTTTTTTCATGATATACAAAAAGCTAATATTAAAGTTCATATGAAAGTAATAGTTTATAAATATCTCCCAAATCGAATCATAATGCAATTGGATGATGGTCATATTGATGCTAATGATGCTCATGATAGAAGATCGACCATTTTAGATATAATAAACCTACATAAGTTAAATAAGATGTCACAGGTTTAAATGAAGTGCAATAATAAGGCTAAAAATAGATCCATATATAAATTAAAACTTATTATATATGACAACAGCTTCAAGGAGAATAAAATTAATTATTCAATAAATTATGTGAGAAGAGTTGCCCATCATAGCCAGAGACAAAATTGAATGCCTGCTTCAGGACATGGCTGCATGAAAGGCATAAATTTGAAAACTCACTTTAGAGGTTTTGAAACATCTGAAGAACATTTCTTTTCACAGGATAAGAACATGATTTATAAGCCAAGACAAACAATCCTATCAACATATTGTTGGTAAAAATATTGATAAGTTTGACTATATTAATTTATAGATATAATAGATATTTTAATACACATAATTAATAAGAAAATAATATCCTAAGAAATAACCTCTAAAAAAACCAACAATGACAAACAGTACAACGGAAAACAGTCAAGTAGAATAGACAAGAAATTGAATGATGAATATGCATATATTAAAAGCTAGGAATTCCACTTGTATTAGCATAACACATGTGCATCAAAACACTTAAAAGTGTTCTTTGCTATACCATAATGCCAAAAAAGAGGAATCAACTTTGTTAATCCTCAGTAATTGACCTGAAAAATAATTTAGCCTTGATCCAAAATCCAAATATTACTGAATAGCTAAAGTAAATAATACAGAGGGGCTAAGGTTGTGGCTCAATGGTAGAGCACTCATCTTACATTATGAGGCACTGGGTTTGATCCTTAGCACCACATAAAAATAAAAATAAATAAATAAAATAAAGGTACTGTATCCATTTACAATTAAAATAAATAAATAATACAAATCTCTATCTACTTTCATGAAAAATTGGGAAAAATATAATATTAAGTGAAAAATAAGGTATAATTTATATAAAGTTCCAAAACCTGAAAAGTAGTAGGATATGTTCGTATCGTATCTTTGCCTGTATTTATTTATTTCTGCCTACCTACAAATATATTAAAGTAGTTATCTGAAAATTATTAGTTTTAAATTCAGGGTAGGAATGAAATTAGTAAAATTGTATTAATTTGACTATTAGAGAAGAACATCAAGAAAAATATAGGAAAATAAACATGTCAAATCTAGATGTGGATTATTATCTTACATTGTCTTTATTCTTTTTCTTTTGGCTGCCTGATAAATATTTCAAAACAAAAAATTTAAAATGGAGTCTTAAAGAACACTTTGTAGTTCAGATAAAAATATTAACTATATGAAGACCTGAATTCAAGCCCTAATTCTTTCACTATGTGTTTTATTCAGGAAATAAATATAATGGCTCATATAATTCATGGTTCAAGGATAACTGATATTCAGTGAGAATTAATGTGTGTGTGTGTGTGTGTGTGTGTGTGTGTGTGTGTGTGTGTGTGTGTTTAACTGACTACTGTAAATTGTAAGGCACTTTATCAATGTAAGGTAACATTCCAAGCAGTTTATTGTATATATCAAGAGTTTTACTCAATGATGATTCAGGAAATAAATTAATACTGGGTGCTAGGTGCTAGAAAACTAGGAAATATTCTTCGGTAATATCTAAATCCTAAGGGCTTAGAGAAAAATGAAAGTTCACTTATCTGGATGATTTGGAACAAATCTAGAATAGGAAATTAAACAAATGATAATTTTCCAACTATATGACTTTCTGGGAAAAGCAAAACTATAGAGAAAGTAAAAAGATGAGTGGTTGCCAGGGAGAAATGAAAGATGAATATGTGGAACACAGGAGATTTTTAGAGCAGTTAACTATTCTTCTGTATGATGCTACTGTGGTGGATATATGTCATTATACATTTGTCAAAACCCATAGGATGCACAGCACAAAGAATGAACCCTAATAAAAATTATGGACTTCAGTTTAAAAAAATAATACAGGACCTTTAACTTAACAAATATTCCACACTAATGCAAAATGCTACTTATATGAAGCAGAGGAGAGAGAGAGCTATTTGAATGTTTTGTATTTTCTGCAAACCTGAAATTACTCTAAAAAACAAGTTCTATTGATTGGAAAACAAACTAACAAAAATGCACATGATCTAAATTAAAAGCACATTGTCCCACAGGTGAGACAGGCAGGCTTTCTCACAGAACCTCTTTTCTCTGCAGTTATAATTTTAACAGAATCAGTGTACTGGTTTTCCAGTTAAACTATTAATTTAAATTTAATTTGTACCATTTAAGGAAGAAGCAACATATTTATTATAATTTTCATTGATCAGTAAGAAGTGACAATAGAGGGCTTGCTATTAAATGATGGCTGCTTAGCATGAACTGTTTTCTAATTGCTACCCTCTGCCTGGTCCCCTGACCTCATTGGGCTGTTCTTACACCTCACCAGAACCCCACCCTATCCAGATTGCCCAGGACCAACCACGTATAAGATTAACACATCAGAACCAAAGGCCTTCAAAGACCATGTCAGGCCTGTGACCTCGTCCATCCTGACTAGTGTCTTCAGCTTATTTGCAAAGTATTCAATAATAAGTATAAATAGAATAACTCAAGGTACATAATTAGGATTTATAGTAGAGATGAGGGGCCTATGAACATAGGTGGAAATAAAGAACCCAATATATGAAAATATGTATAGCTGTAAGTATCTTTATCCTTTTAATTTGTATAATACTTTAGAGTTTTAAAAGTGTTTCCTTCCGTGTGTGTGTTTGTGTGTGTGTGTGTGTGTGTGTGTGTGTGTGTGTGTGTGTGT